GATTTGGTGTAGGTGGGGGATACAGTTATCCATAAACAGATAGTTTCAAAAGTGTGATTAAGTGCAACAATAGAGACAAGTTGGTGACGTGGAAGTCCAGAGGAGGAACTTTTGGTTGCCTTGGAGACTGAACGACACTTCACTATGAGGGGCCCTTTAAGATGGATATATCTTGAAAGATGAATACGATCAGGTGGCAGTGAGGAGACAGAGGCTTCTGCAAAGGCTAGGAGGATCGAGAGTATATGGAACTCCTTTCTGGGGGGTATTGTTTCAGGGTTGGCTGGGAATGGTGGGGAGGGAGTTAGGGGAGAGATAAGATGAGGCTAAACCCAAGGCCTTTTTTCAGTTCTTCAAGAGAGTTTATCCTGAAACAGAGCAGGGAAGGGAGGAGTATAGACCTGGATGGGAACTCTAGGTGCTTCACTGGGTGATGGAGGGAGAACCAATGGTCGAGGGTAGTTTTTATTTTCAATATAATTCTTGTGAAATATCCCATGCATGAAAGTATTATAATTTCTATGTATGGGGAGAAGAAGAATAAAATGAATGCCCATTTATGCACCACCAGGCAGAAAACGAATACTTTTGGGGCCTCCTTCTTGCCCCTCTCAGAGTTAACCACTATGTAGACTTGAATCTTTATTAGTTGAGAAAAGTTATTTTTAATACCCTTGATTGTGTATAAAGCTATCATTTAACTCATTCCCTGTCTTTCTGATAGTTTTCTTTTGATACGTTTTTAAAGTTTTATGTACTTTATTATATAACAATGCTAAAAGTAATTTTGGCGGGAACCAGGTTAATTCTCCATAGCCCTTTCTCTTGGCACGTATAAAAGTCAACTGTTATTTATAGTTCGGTCAGGCCCTCTTTTGTACTTCATAGCTGCTCAAACACATTGTTTAGAGCTCACTCAGTTATGAGGTGTAGTTGGTTTGGGTAATGTTATAAGAATGACCAGATTTTAAGAGGAGATATAGAATTACAAATGGCTTTTTGTATAATACAAACTCTCATAACTCAGATTAATATCTCTATGTTTTAGAATTTCTGATTATTATCCTTAAAATTAAAAGCTGTTTTTAACCTTCCCTATTTTCCTCTAACCTTCTGTTTCTATTTTCATTTGTGTTTAACTTTGTAGAATATTAGCTTATTTGAATATTTAACTTTTAAACTAGCTGTTGTGTTTCATAGGTGTGGAAGCTCCCAAATTTGTTAATTTTGGAATTCAAAAGGAAATAGTATTTTTGTGAGGCATCTGTTCAGATACAATATTAAATTATAGGCAATCAAGGGAGTAAAAATTAACCGAATGTTCAAAGAACATGCTGGAAAAGAGTCTTTGCATATAATTTTCGGAGGGAGTAAAAATTGGAAACATAATAAACTGCTTAGACTTTGACATAGAGAGTTGAATCATGTTTTTCTTTTAAATAAACTCCAATGGAAACAATACAGGAAACTTTTGTGGACAAATGTTTATTTATATAAACATATATAACTTTATCACATAAAGTTGTTAGCGATACGTGAAAAAGATTATTAGACTATGCCCGAGACTATATCCTTTCACAAAACTTAAAATATTTGGAGTTTTTATATTATCAGTTTTAACAATAATTATTTCTGAGTAGTGATGGGATTATAAATGACCTTTTTTGTTTTGCTTACTGGGCATTTTTCATCTTTCCTTTTAAAGTATATGGTTCGGTGTTTCATATTATCACTTCAAAAAAAAAAACCCTATTGCCATTAGCAGTAACTGCCCATTTATCCCCATAGCTCCCAGCCCTAGACAACCATAAATCTTCCTCTGTCTCTGTAGCTTATTCTGAGCATTGCTTTTAAATGGAATGAACCAATACATGTCTTTTGTGTCTGACTTCTGTCACTTAGCATATTTTCAAAGTTTATACACTTTGTAACATGTATCAGTATTTCACTTATTTTTATGGCTTAATATAATTTTGTGTGGATAGATCACATTTTATTTATCCATTCATCACTTGATGGATATTTGGGCATTCCAGTTTTTGACTATTGTGAATAACATTGCTGTGAACATTCATATAGACATTTTTGTGTGGACATGTTTTTATTTCTCTTGAGTGTGTATATATATATATATATATGGATATACATGTACATATACATATATATATATACACACACATGTGTATACGTATATGTGTGTGTGTGTGTGTGTGTGTGTGTGTGCATGTGTGTATACACACACGCACACTTAAGAGTGGAATTACTAGGTCATATGGTAACTGTTTAACCTTTTGAAAAAGTGCCACACTTTTCCACATTGGTTACACTATTTAAAATTCTAACAGGAATATATGAGGGTTTCAATTTAATTTTTGACAAATACTTGTTATTTGTATTTTTGTTTATAGCCATTCTAGTGAGTGTGAAGTGGTATCTCATTGTGTTTTCCATTTGTTACTTCTCTAATGACTAATGATTTTGAACATTTTTTTCATGTGCTTATTGGCCATTTGTATATCTCCTTTTTGTATTGAGATCCTTTGCCCATTTTAAAAAATGGGTTGTCTTTTTATTGTTGAGGTGTAAGAATTCTTTATATATTCTAGATATAAATTCCTTATCAAATATATGATTTACAAAAATGTTCTAGTCAGTAGATGGTCTTTTCACTTTTGTAATGGTGTTTATTGAAGCATAAAAGTTTATAATTTTAATGAAAATCAGTTAAGAGTTTTGTAGTTTTAGCTCTTAGATTTAGGTCTATGATACATATTGAGTTAATTTTTGTATATGGTGTGAGGTAGAAGCCCAACTTTATTAATTTGTATGTCTATTCAGTTGTCCCAGCACCATTTCTTTAAAAGAATATTTTTCCTCCATTGAATTGTCTTGGCGTCCTTATCAAAAATCAGTTGACCATAAATGTAAAGTTATTCTGGACTCTCAATTCTGTTCCATTAATCTATATGTCTTTCCTTAGTATCACACACTCTCGATTGCTGTTTTGAACTCTGAGGTGTGTCCTCCAACTTTGTTCTTCTTTTTCAAGATTGTTTTGGCTATTTGTCAATTTCTGCAAAGACATTAGCTGGGATTTTGATAGGATTGCATTTTCAAGGAGTATTACCATTTTACTATTAACTTTCCTAATCTACGAATATGAGATGTCTTTCTACTTAGGTCTTCTTTAATTTCTTTCAACAATGTTATAGTTCTCAGATTTCCAGTTTTGTACTTTTTAAGAAAAGTGTATTGCTAAAGTTTTTTTTATTATTTATTTTATTTAAAAATTTTTTGTTGTTTTTGATGCAATTGTAAATAGAATTGCTTTTTTAATTTCATTTTTAGATTGTTCATTGCTAATTTTTTTAGATTGATATTGTACCCTATAACTTTGCTGAACTCATTATTAGTTCTAATAGTTTTTAGTGGATTCCTTAGGATTTTCTATATACAGGATTATGCCATCTGCACACAGAAGTCATTTTACTCTTCCTTTTTGGATGCCTTTTATTTCTTTTTTCTGGACTAATTGCCCTGGCTACCATTTCTGGTACAAGGTTGAACAGAAGTAGCAAGAGCAGGTCATATTTTCTTAATGCCGTTCTTAAGAAAATATACTGGTAAAATTAGGTACTTTTTAAGTTAGTCTCATCATCTCAGTCCATTTATTGTCAGTAGTTGAAGGTTTAGAAGAGGGCTTGGCCTGATGATTGAGAAGTGAAGGAGGGACCAATACCAGTTTTAGTGACTCGGCCTGGGAGGAGAGCAAATTTTTACATTTTCTTCCCCATACACTGTTGATGAGGTTGAGCTCTACTTCCCCAGAGCAGTGGTCAAAAGCCTGGGGACAGAGAGGTGCACACATATTAAGTATGTGGACCTTCCCAACAGGTTATTTTAGTGAGTCCTTAGTGCTATCTCTTGGAACTCAGGCCCTCTCTTCTACATATGGTCTATAAACCCTAGCAGCACACCTGTCAAATGGCATCCAGTTTTTAGGCAGTTAAAGTTTTATAAGCTTGACAATTTAGAATCTACTCCAAAGTCAATATGGTAATTCATGTCAAGAATTATGAAAACAGTCATATACTTTGCCCCTTTAATCTAACTCCTGGGAATTTATCCATCAGAAGTAATTCAGAAGACAAAAAAAAAAAAAAAAGAAAGAAAGAAGAAAAGAGTATTAGATTTTTAAAAGCAGCAATAGAGAAAAACCAATTCTAGTTTAAATAATTTAAATGTCCACCAGTACTGTTGTGATAAAGTATATTTTATATATCAGATTAGATGTATGCTGATGGAGTATTATATAGTTTACCAAAAATGACTATATAAAGTCACTGAAAAATATTTACAAAATAATGCTAAGTAAGAAAAGAACACAAAATTATATATACAGAGATTACAATGGCATTACAATTCTGAATGTATGTAGCTTGGTAAGAGATGATGAGGAAATTAAAATACTGTTGCATAAGAATGACATAGTTATGGATGATATTTTTGAGTTGTTCATAAATTCTTTCTCAGAGTTTTTTATTAATAAAAATATAATATCACAGTGCTAATCTGGTCAAAAATTGAGCTGTAACAGCAGCATCTATTTTAGAAGATTAGAAAGTCTCTATAGCACTTAAACTGAGCCACTTAATAATAATGGCTATTTCAAATTCTTATTTAAAAGTACAGAAAAGTGCAAATATGTAAATAAAATCACATAATTCTATCATGCAGAGAGATGGCTACTATTAACGTATTTGTCTATAGCTTTCCATTATTTTTTCTGTCTGTACATTTACATTTATATATTTTACATAATAAAAAATTTGAAATAGGCATTGATTATTTTGTAACCTCTGTTTTTATCACAAAAGTCAATGCACATTTTCATATTAGTGTGCTCTCCAGAGGTCTTTGGGCAACCACTTTCTGGAAACCTGGAATGGGATAAAACAGATGTACTTGCTGATTTGCTTTTCCCCCTCATTCTGTGGTAGAAATTGGTGTGTTAGCCAAGACTTTCATTGAACAAGGGAAGCTCATCCCAGATGATGTCATGACTCGGCTGGCCTTTCATGAGCTGAAAAATCTCACCCAATATAGCTGGCTATTGGATGGTAAGTGAAGTGTTGTGAGCATTTCAGCTGCCTAAAATAATGTGTTGGCAGGAGAGTGAGCATTTCATGGGCTACAGACAAATATCACAAATGGTGGGCAAAGAGCCTACATTCTGCCACTGACCACCTGAGACCTTGGGCCAGTCATCTCTGTGTCCACTTCTTTATCCAAATGGAAGGAGGGAAGTGGACTGCATGATTTCTAAGCTCCTTCAGATGTGACTTTAGTTCTTCCCCCTCCTTTGAGAATATTTTATCGGGAGGGTGGCTTACCACAGAAAAAAAAAAAGAGAGAGAGGGAAGGCTAGAGGGTGACTTACAATCGCTGGAATCTTTTGCCAGACAGAGGTGTGGTGGAATCCTTGAGGACCAATTGATTTTTAGTTTCTAAAGAGAGAGAAATATTCATTGTAAGGAATAGGCTCACATGTTATGGAGGCTAAAAAGTCCCAGGATCTTCAGGGTGAGTTGCTAACCTGGAGATCCAGGAGAGCAGATGGTGTAGTCTAAAGGCCAATAGATTTGAGACCCAGGAAGAGCTAACGTTTCAGTTTGAGTCTAATGCAGGAAAAAGCCCATGTCCCAGCTCCAAGGCAGTCTGGTGGGAGGAACAGCCTCTTTATTCGGGGCGGGGGGGGCGGTGCGGGTCAGCCCTTTTGTTCTCTCCGGGCCTTTGATGGATTAGATGAAGCCCACTCACATTAGGGAGAACCATCTGCTGTACTCAGCCTACTGATTTAAATGTTAAATTCATCCAAAAACACCCTCACAGACACACCCAAAATGTTGAACAAATATCTGGGCACCCCGTGGCCCAGTCAAGATGACACATGAAATTCCATTCATGTCATGACACACAAAATTATCACAGTTGCCTTGCAGCTGTGATCAGCCTGCCTGCTTTTGTTCAGATTGCTCAACATTAATTCTCTTTCTTCTTCTCTCTCTTTTTCCCTACCTTCCAATCCTTCCTTTCTTTCATTTTTTTTTTTTTTTTTTAATTTGTAAAGGTTTTCCAAGGACACTTCCTCAGGCAGAAGCCCTGGATAGAAATTATCAGATAGACACAGTGATTAACTTGAATGTGCCCTTCGAAGTCATTAAGCAGCGCCTTACTGCGCGCTGGATTCATCCAGCCAGTGGCCGAGTCTACAACATGGAGTTCAACCCTCCCAAAACTGTGGTGAGTAGTCGTGGTATGACATGGTCTTCCACATAGCACACTGTCTCTGAGTCCTCTTGCCCTCACAGACAAGTTTTATGCCCTTGGAAATCCTGCCTGATCGAAACTTCTGAGGGAATAATCTCAGGTTACTTGGTATAGTCAACTTCGCTAGTCTACTCAGCTTGTTAGTAAAGGCGTCCCCAGGAATAATAGGGGTTTGTCATTCCTTCAAAAGCATTTACTGATTTCCTTCTGTGCCAGGGAGTATGTTAGGAGTTGGGGCAATAGAGATTAGGGACACCTTGGTTTACTTAGGGCTTGCAGTTGAGAGTCCTAGTCTGTAGCTGACTCTTTTTGTACACATGTTGTCAACATAAGTTTATGTCCAAACCTGTAGAGAATTACTATAAAAATTCATTTGAGCCAAACAGAGGATATGCCTGGAAGCAAAATCTTAACAGAATGAGAAGAATGCCTCCTAGAATAGCAGTTTGCAGCTTCTCTTATGCATTTTGAATTAAAGAAGGAACATAAAGAAGATTACATGAAGGTAAGAGAAAGTAAGTCAGGGATTGGATTATAGGATAGTTAACAAGATTGTGTGCTTTCTTGACAGTGGTTATACTCATGAGGGCTCTGAAAAGAGATACTTGAAAGGTGTGTTAACCTAGATGAACAGAAACAATGGACAGGACTTGATTCAAGCAAAGATAAACCTTTTACTAAAGAAGTTAGTACCCACCATCACCTGTCCAGTTAGGAATTTATGATCAGTGAGGTTACTTTCCATAGAACCCCTTTTTCATCCATAATATGAAATTATTTAGAGGCCGCTTAGAAAATCTTGTACTCTAAGAAGCAGAAGACTGACACTGTGGAAGTGATCCTGGGGTCTTATGGGGCTCTACATTGCAATGCTCTGGGTTTGGATTCGATTCTGTTTGTTTAAAAAGCCCATTTGTGTGTTTGGTGCTTGCGTAGAGATGATGTCTGTCTAAAAATCATGTAACTGCTCATAAACACATCCTTCAAAAATAAGATGTTTGATACCAGCCTGTTTTAATTCCTGTTTAGGGCATTGACGATCTGACCGGAGAGCCTCTTATTCAGCGTGAGGATGATAGACCAGAGACGGTTGTCAAAAGACTGAAGGCTTATGAAACTGAAACAGAGCCTGTCCTGAAATACTACCAGTGAGTCTGTCGCTTTTCAGAACTTCTCTTGCAGGATGAAGCACTAAAGGCAGTTTTTTTGAGTATCTGTTATTTACAGCCAAAATGCTTAAATACCAGAAGATCCCATTCAAATTGGTTTATAATAAAGGAAATTTATTAGTGCAACAGAGAAGTCCGGAAGATAGGTCGGGCATCAGTCGCCCCTAGGTCTGACTAGAGTTTTTGCCATTCTGTCAACTTTGTGTTGTCTTTGTCCTTAGGCTTCCTGTAGATAGCTGCCAGAAACAGCTCTTTCATGAAGGGTCACTTTTCCCCCATTGAACAAAAGCCCCGAGCATCATGCAGATTGAACCCACTTGAACAGCCAGTGTGGTCAGGGAATGCCCTGCACTGGCCATTTAAAGCCTAGGTTACTGCCCATTCCTGAACTAGTCACTGGGATGGGAAGGAGTAACTGATTAGTCCACACCTGAAGCTGGGAGTGGGTCAATCTCACCCAGACTCTGCTGTCTGGTGAAGAGAGGGCTGGAATGAATGTCTGGGAGGCAAACCTAATAATACCCACTACCTGTGCCAGTGGAGGATACTATATAGCATATAAGACTCAAATGACAACCAATCCTCAGATCATTTATTTATCTAATAATCATTAAAAGCTTATGTTCTAACATAGTTTGGTCTGCTCTTCAGAGAACTCATACTACACAACAAATATGGGATCTATACTGAATTAATATTTGACTTAGACTAAGAAACAATCCAGTTTCCTTTCCTTCTCCTCACAGAGGATTGATCGCAACCCCTTTTAATTCATTCACTTACTGAATGATGATTCAGTGTCAGCACAGTACAGTGTTGCAGTTAGAGCACAGACTCTGGAGCCAAACTGCCTAAGTTCAAATCCCAGCTCACCATTTATTAACTCGGCCTTCTCCTCTATAAAATGGAGGTAAGAGTAGAGAGTTGAAGAACAGAATTAATATGTGTAACTCTAATTGTTTCTGACATAGTAAGCACTTTATAATTATCAGCTATTGTTACTGTAATAGGGTAAGTGTGCAGTGAAATCTAAAGCAATTGTCTGCAAACTGTTTTAATAGTTGTTTCTGGAGGGTAAAATTTTAAGAGAGTTGATGATTCACTTTCTGCAGTAGCTGTTACTATAATTTTGTGATTGGTATAATGAGCCTGGTTCTGCAGATTGCCAGCACCGTGACCCTGGGCAAGGTATTCAACCTCTGTGCCACAAAGTTTTCATTTGTAAAATCAGAGCAATATTAAATAGTACCTACTTATATGGTTATTAAGGAAATTAAGTGAGAGAATCCATGTAAAGACTTACAACAGCCCTGGCACTATTAAATCACTGTTAGCTATTACTCTGTTGACACTATGCTAGGCCCCTGGTCCACACAGATTATTAGACCCAGTCCCTGCCAAACCCCAAGAAACTCACCTATCTGTGAATGAGGCAGAGAGCTGGGTAAACAATAGTTATCATATAATGCACTTAAATCAATCAGGAACCTAATTCACATTAGTCTAAGCAAAAGGGAAATTTATTGGTCATGTAACTAAGAAGTCCAAAAGTAGAAGCTGGGTCCAGGTGTTCAATCAGTGTTACCATGCCTCATCACTCTCAGCTCCATTTTCCTGTATTGGCTTCAGTCTTAGGTGGGCTCTTAGTGTGTGAGCCTCTCAGCACTCCAGCTTACCTGACCAGTTTAGCTAACCCAGCAGAAAAGAGAGCCTCTTTGTCAGCAGAAGTCCTGGAGTTGGCACTGATTAGCTCATGTCCATTCTCGAAGCTGAGAAGTAGGGACAGCTCCACCCAAATCTCGTGGACCCAGTTTCTCATGGTGAAGAAGTTGTTTCCCAAAAAGGAGTTTGTTTTTCACTTAAAATTAGCCAGAAGAAGGGTGACCACATTGTCGGGCTGATAACAACACTGCAAGGCTATTAATAAAGGTAATCACTGAATGCAGTGGAAGCAGGGATTGATTCTATCAAAAAGTGGGAAGTTGGGGAAGGCTGCAGAGATGAAATGAATGACCCAGGTCCCTATCTTAGGAGATACCCTCGTTTTTCTAGGCTTCTGGCACTTGCTACCTCTTACCATTTTCTGAAGCTTTTTCCTTCCAAACTCCCACACATAGAGCTAGGGCTGGACTTAACCAAAAACTCAAAGTGGTATTTGCAATAATCCTAGTGATAGTTACTATTGCTTTTTTTTTTTAATGGTTTAAAAATTTTGTTAAATTTTTAATTCTGATTTCAAGAGACTAATTTCATCTATTTTTTACGTTAGAATTTTATTTTTTATTGTGACATTGGTTAACGAAATACAGTAATTTTCAGGTGTACAATTCAACAGGAAGGCATATATATATTGCACTGTGTATTCACCACCCATATTTAGATTTCTTACTAAACACCACATATTTGACCCCTTTTGTTGTAGAAAAGATCCAAAATTAGACTGGCAAGAAACCAAGCAGCACCTGGAGAGTTGGAGAACTCGGGTTTATTATGCCGACAGTTCCAGAAGAGCTAGCGCTCCGAAGATCTGGCCGGGAGCTCAGTTGCACCATTCCTTGTATAGACCCTTTTTGGCATAGGCTGATTGGTTAATATGTCCTCAGACCGTCACTATGCACGGGAGTCGCTATGGTTGCCGGTACTTACATTGCATTACAAAAGGGGGGGGGGGATGGGGTTGCTATGGGGTACCGGCAGTTACAAAGTGTTACAAAACAGGGGAGCCGCTAGG